ACGACCGGACACTTAGCATATTAGGCTTTTAGTATCACTCAACTTCTCGCTATGATGTGTACTGACCACCAGGGGGCAGACGTTCTGGTAGGTGAGCTTGCTGCTGTGGTCCAGCCAATCGGGACTGAGCGAGACAGGCCAGACCTGCCCTGGAGCCCTCCCACGGCCCCTCCCCAGCTGGCCAACCTCCCTCGTCCCTCCTTGGCCCGGATGGTGCAACGGTGGGGTCCCGCGGCCTGGCCTGTGCCCTCTTGCAATCCTGGACCCCTCGGGGGATCCTGGATCCCACAGGCCAGGCCGTGGGACCCCACTGGTGCACGAATTCGTGCCCCGGGCCTCTAGTGTAGATATACACATTCCTGCTGCCTTTCCCGGCCACCCAGGCTTGTCAGCATATCCTGAGGCTGGCCCTCAGGTTCAGAGTTTAAAGAAACCCCATGGCCGGCTCTCACGTGCGGTGCGTGAGCACCCTGAACTGCGCCGTAAGCGCCTTGCAGGTTAGCCCTGCGAGCTGTCAGCTTTCGGACCGACTCCTCTGCACAAAGCTCTTCAGGGGGCCCGGCTGCCTGCGCTTCCCCTGGGTTTGGCCTGAAGGGTTTTGTGCAGATCAGAGTCTGCGGTTTGCTGGCGTCTCCCCTGTTCACCCTGTGGATCAGGAACCGGCAGGTCGCAGCTCACGGGCCACGTCTGGGCCAGCCCACCCGTGCGTGTGATTGTCCACGACCACTTCCAAGTCGTGCGGCAGAGCCGGCCGGCGTGGCTCAGGGGTTGAGCGTGGACCCATGAACCAAGAGGTCACAGTTCGATTCCCGGTCAGGGCACATGCCCCGGTTTTGGGCTCGATCCCCAGTGCGGGGTGGGGTGGGGAGGGCGCATGCAGGAGGCAGCCGGTCCATGATTCTCTCCCATTGATGTTTCTATCTCTCTCTCCCTCTCCCGTCCTCTCTCTCTAAAAAAGTAAATAAAAACCTATTTTTTTTTAAAGTAGTGTGGCTGAGACCCTGTGACCTGCCGAGCCTGAGACTTCTGTCTGGCCTCCCAGGAGGGGTGCTGCCCCCTGCTGGTGTGTTTGTGTGGCACACCTGTGTGCGCTCTTGTCCTGGCAGGACGGGCCATGCCCTGGACTGTCTGGCCCTCCCAGGATAATTGTCTTAACTCCGTGTCTTTTGCTTCCTTTCCTGCCCAGGGTCCCTCCTCTCCTGTCACCCCCGTGGGCGGGCCCACAGCTCTGCCGGAACCGGAACCGGCGGCACCATGAGTGAGGTGAGTGTCCCCGGGGTGTTGGCTGGGAGCACACGCTCGCTTCACTGTGGCTCCTTGTTAATTGCCCGGCAGCTGACTCTCCCTCCGCCCGTTCCCAGGAGTCAGGGAGCTACCTGGACGCCTACGACGACTATAACGCCACCGCGGACTACGCTGCGGACCCCACCCTCCTGTGCGTCCTGAAGGACGTCCGAGACTTCTCGCGGCTCTTTGTGCCCATCACCTACTCCCTGATCTGTGTCTTCGGCCTCCTGGGCAACGTCTTGGTGGTGCTCACCTTCGCGTTCTACAAGAAGGCCAAGTCCATGACCGACGTGTACCTCCTGAACATGGCCCTGGCGGACATCCTGTTTGTCCTGACGCTCCCCTTCTGGGCGGTGACGCACGCCACGGGCCAGTGGGTCTTCAGCAGCGCCCTGTGCAAGCTGGTGCGCGGCGTCTACGCCGTCAACTTCCACTGCGGCATGCTGCTCCTGGCCTGCATCACTACAAGAAGGCCAAGTCCATGACCGACGTGTACCTCCTGAACATGGCCCTGGCGGACATCCTGTTTGTCCTGACGCTCCCCTTCTGGGCGGTGACGCACGCCACGGGCCAGTGGGTCTTCAGCAGCGCCCTGTGCAAGCTGGTGCGCGGCGTCTACGCCGTCAACTTCCACTGCGGCATGCTGCTCCTGGCCTGCATCAGCCTGGACCGCTACGTGGCCATCGTGCAGGCCCCGGGGGCCTTC